GTTCTCTACCTCATATTAGCTGCGTAAGGATTATTAACCTTGACGTTATTTTGCGTGTCAGATATCCAGTGTATTCCAGTTCCTATTCATTGAGATTGTATTAGAAAAATCTTCAGTCTTTCGTAAGTAGGGTTTATTGTAAACCAACTGGAAAACCCAATACATTGTCGTTTTATTAATACTTAATAGTACCCTTATTTATTTTGTAAAGATTGTCTCCCTATAGTATCAGTCTGATCATCCATGTGAATTAATGTACATTCTGTAATTACTTTCAGAATATATTATCATTGTAACAATTTTGCTTAGCATTTTTGTATAATCAGTTGGAAGTAATTCATACTAAAAGAAGGTATGGTCAATATTGAGAACATATCGTTGTGGGTAGTTGGATGTAGTCACTAGGATACTTTAGACTCAGGCTTCGTGATAGTTGATAACCGTTAACAAGGAGTATCGACAATGTTGAAGAAACTGATATACTCTGTGAGATTCTGACTCACATCACTTAGAGTCTCGGTTTTACATGTTACCAATAAGTTATTAAAGTCACTACTGATCTCCTATATCAATAGTTTATTTACATTGATTGATTGACCAGTGTCATTTTTGTCTGTTCCTTAGTATTCACCGATCAATCATGTTGCAGTATGATCGTTATTCCGAGTGCGCTATGTTTCGATGCCAGGTAGTTAATAGACCCTACTGAAAAGTGCCAAATAGAACGAAACTTAAGTCTAGATTGTCTTGCCGACTACCTCCAAATATCTTACATATAAGCATTGTATATTTGGTGTTGAGTCATTGAAACTAATACACAAATTGCAGCTTGCTTAGTGGAATCAGATAAAGACTAGAGACTAGATAAACATGATATTGATTACCACTCAAAGACCATCAATCAATATAAAAAGATAGCGGAATCATGACAACTGTACTTATGGCAGACTGGCATCAAGTGAAGAATCATTACACAGCGAGGAAATCGGAAGTTGCTTCACCTTAAATAGAAAAACTCTTTGAAGGGATAGTGAGACGTCACTGGGTCCTAGGTAAATTATCCGGCATGCAGGTTACTGAATATCGAACAGTTTACCGATCCTCATCAGCATCAAGAACCGACGCACATTAATCAATGGCTTGCCATGATCAGGTGCATGGGACAATCGTTCGACCTTGTATTTCTGTTTACTGTTGTCCATCGAGAGTATTTATTCTAACCAGTCGCCTGGTCATCACGATAGCACAATCCATGTTACGTAATAACCGCGAAGAGTGACTCCAACGTAAGCCAGGAGGTCACATGATTCCCATCCCACTTGAGTAGGCTTGCAATCAACGTCACAGATCACCTACATTGGTAATCAGCATCCTCATTATCGTCCGTTCATGAAACAAAATGAGAATCAACTTAATATTTTTAAATCAATCAGGTAACACCACAGCACTTTATTCAGAGATAAAATTCAAAATTCTTCATCTTTACAATTCAATTACTTACCGATATTCATTCTATGTTATTAGTGAGTAATTCTACTTCTAATAACAATGTATTGATAGAACAAATTTTTCGTAAACCATCTCAGTGACTAGGACATGAAGTTATGCTTCAGAAACTTTTGCATATTAAGACCAAGAAATTGAAGTAAGTTATTATTAGATAATAAAATTTAGTAAGAATTTAATAATGATCAGAACAAGTAAGTGTAATTCAGAAGTAGCTTAGTGGTTGGGCTATACAATTTCTAGCCAGTAGGTCTTAAGTAAGAGTTCAAACCCTTTCCACTTACCTGGCTTCAGACAGTCGAGAATATTAATAGACTTTATACATCGATTATGGTTCTAAGCCAAATCTAGGGTTATTCAATGGTTTATGTTTAGAAGAAATAATAAACAGATAAGTGTTCTGCTGAAAACTGTCACTATGATTAATTTTACAGTCAGTCAAGTACAACGTAGGACGATGCACATATATGAATCGGTTCAAGTTGCCATACCTCATTATCACAACAAGATCAACATCGGATTCATCGAAGTAGTTAATTCAATGGTGGTAATATATAAAAAAAGGATATAATACAGGAAGAAAGAATTAGTACGTAGAAAGAAAGATATGAAGCGGTTTTAATTTCATAGTTTAAGGGAAGACAGAGAGTGTATACACCTACGTCATTGTGATCGATTCTAAACCATGTTACCCAGAGTTTCCAACCATTGATTACGATAGTCACCTGGACCCTAACCAAGTAGTCTGCATCTACCAACATGGCTAAGATTAATCTTACATAATTAATTCATTTAACATCAAAAGTTATTGGCACGTAAATTCAAAGTTTCAAATTTGGCTGACCTTGTAAAAAATGTTTGGTGTTTGGTACGTCATTAAACAAATATTTATGTAAATAAAATGTTGATGTTTTTCAATATAACTACTGCTGTTGTGTAATCAATTTTTGGCTAAAGAATTAAGTTCAGATATTATTTTTAAGTAACAACAATGTGACTAGGAACTGGAACTGACAATGTGTTTTTTTTCCATAACTATTTATAGTTATAATGAAATACTTAATTTAATTAGTGAGGCAAACTGTAAATTTGTGCAAGTGGCAACATGTATAAGAATGAAAACATACAGGTAAATGGTCTCAATTTCATGACTGATGGTAAATTTGAATGGCTTGTTATATATTACATGCGAATTGACTATAACAGTAAGACTTCCCTGAAGTCTTAGTAAGTTAGCTGAACTCTAATATCCATACGGAATTGTTAACTTGGTTAAAGTTGTACATAGTAAACACCATAGAATGATATCAACTGGCACACTATAGAAAACCAGGTAGAATTGTTGTTTCAAACTAGTATGGGACTTCTCAGCAGGGCACACTCCATAAAGGATAGAAATCAGTATATTCAAGCTTCAGTTTATTATTTATTTGAACACAAAAATATTGGTACAAAGTAGCACCGAATGCATGTCACTTGATTTGTGTGTGGGATATGATACAGTAAGGGTGGCCAGACTGAAACAGATGGTTTTCTTAGGAGGTTACGCCTGATCTAATTTACAAGGCAGTGGAGCAACATCAGGAGATCCAGTCACATGGTAGACCGTGACCAATAATTGGCTCATACGCCATTTGTTCCCTCGGGATACTGGAGCCCATGTACACCATTGGTTTAGATGCAGGGTTTTCTAGCTCCCGTAGGTGGACCCTCCGTCTCCACGAACCCGGTTAAAGAGCCGGACATACGTTTCCCGTCCTCTCATTTTCGTAAACACCCCCGCCGCGAGGAAGTGAGTAGGACTCCCTTGGCAGTGGCTGTATACGCGTGGGAATGTGAGGGCATTTGGAAAGGGAGAGCGGACGCTCTCCACCCTCAAGCGTGCCAGGGCATTTGGGGGCATATCAGTGTACACTTAACCATCAGAACTCCTGGGCCGACGACTGATGGTACAATTTCAACTTCAATCAATTTGCGATACGGTGCAACCACCATCTGGTGACATTGACAACAAATGTTTCACTCCTGAAATATCTGAACTCATGTCATGATCTGTACTAAAAGTTCAGACATCTCTGAATGCAGGGAGGTTTAAAGGTCCTCAGTTCGATCTCTGATGAGTTCGTGGGTGTACATCGCTGATAAGTCCCATGCTAGGGCGAAACAAATATTCAGTGTTCTTTGGGTTTTCAGTAGTACCTCAAATGAGCTCAGTATAAAAATTAAACCGATCTCCATAAAAGCACTTTAAATAAAAATTGATGTTGCATTAATTACAGCTGTCAAACTCCACATTTGAAGTTTATTCCTACCACGAACTGACATCAGCTGGACAAATATTAAAAACCAGGAAGACAGTGTATATTTGTCTCGTCTTAGTTCGCCTTTGCGTTCGATCACTAATGAGGTCGTATGTGGGTACTGCAGGGAATTACTAAACTATATCACAAAACAAATGTTCATTTGTCGTACAGATTAATCTGATTTAACTAAAAGAAAATACATTCTTATACTACAAGGTAAAGACGAATGAATATTTGGAGCCTGCAATCACACAAGGAATCATTGCTGTAATGCAAATAACTACTGCTTTTCGAATATTAATATTGTAGAGGTTATTAATAATCGATTTAACATTTGGAACATGATTTGTAGATCACGTGTTTTTGAAGGTGTTGCAGTTCTTAAGATTGATGGAATAGTCATAACTTATGTGCTTACCATCTGGTGTAAAAATAAAGTCATGAATAAACCACTCAGCCCTAGAAACACAACCTCTCTGAAATCATTCACATGAGTTCACTTCAGAATCAAACAGTAAAGCTCCCGATCAATTAGCACTATGATTTCGCGATCATAAATTAATTTTTACTGTAAGTAGTAACGCTAAATAACCGACCACCATGAAAAATTAAAAACATTCAACATGCCATACTAATTCCGCATAAAGAAATGAAATTAACCCGATGTACAGTTAGAAACTAGTAATTTCATGAGTGATAAAATCAGTGTATAATCTCAATAGTTATGAGAAATTCAAAGCATTTATACCTAATCTACATATGCTTTGAAACAATTTCTCATTAATCCCGTTTTAATAAAAACCCAATAAAAAATTCAAACTGAGTTGTTACGATTATGTACTCACAGTTCTCATATTACTATTCACTATACTTAAATATTAACATACTATGAGACAATTACTTCAAACGATATTGAAACATTAAACTCTACGAAATGTTCAGTACATCTTATTTACTTAAGCCTGTTACTCCTCGTGGAGGAGCATAGGCCCACCATTACTCTTAAATGGTTAATTATTTTTTCTGGTTAGCGTTTTTTTAGCGAGTTTGTTTTCTATGAGACGGGGTCGCTAACCCCATGCCTGAGTTTAGGACCGGTAGTAACTATAGAAGAGCTACAGGCTGAGTTGTTCAGTATATCACATCAAGTAATTTAATCGTTAAACAAACAAACAAAAAATACACTACAAAGCAAAACTGAATAGATTTTATTTTGTAAAAGTAAATCAAATTTCATATAGAGGATTATAACACTGTACTAATTATATATATAGATTTTTCTTTCAAAAAGCAGTGATCTGAGAAATTGACTGTCTTAAAAAAGAGCAAAAATAAGCAAGCAAATTAACCACAGTTTTATAATGCAGTTGACAACAAGATTTTTGTTCTTTTTTTTTCTGAGAAAAAAAGAAAGGAGGGGGAACTAATATTGAGAAAAAAAACAGGGATATAAAAACACACAATTTTCTTTGAATACATAAGAAAAATATTCACCAACAAATAAGTCACAATCAAATCTGTGTTGAACACGAATTATATATTTGGTTAGTTTTTCATTTCATGCATTGATTAATGAAAAAAACACAATGTGTGTGTGTGCAATAGAGAATATTTACGAATAGGGAAGAAGAATAGAAGCATTACAGACAAAGAGCATGGAGATAGTGTCAGTTGAACAAGAAACAAAAAAATAGAAATAGTAAACATTGAAGATAAGAGCATACAGAAGAAGAAGAAGAAGAAGAAGAAGAAGGATACATGTGTACAATGATAAAAGGAAAACAAACTGAAGAGAGAACAAAATTATAGTTACCAGATTATTTATGAAATAAAAATAGCATAATGGATAGCGCGCACATTTAATGGAGTTAAGTAAATTGTAATTATGAAAGTTTTGTTTACATGTTTATTAGACTATAACATATCCTATACAGAGAGAAAAAAAGTATTATAAACTAATACTTAATTTCTTACAACAGAGTTTAGAACACATAGATTATTTAAGTTGTCCATTGGGTGAACCGAAATCAAAGCTACTAGGGATAGTTGGTGAAAAAGTATATCCTCCAGCTTGTTCAATAATTTTAGACTCTGAAATATAAATTAGAAAATACTTTTTTTTTAGATTTATGAGAAACAGACGAGATATACTCTATGTGTATAATGAAGACAATCTGAACTAAATTGAAAATATATATCAAGTGTGAGTAAATTACAAACAACCATAATAATTCAAATGTATTCTGATTCATACTCAACTATGTGAAGAATTCGCACCCTGCTAATAGATCCTTACAGTATCATGATGAATGGTGTCGTGTATCAATGCTGTATTTATGTTATTTGGACATATATATATTGGTACAAATGAACATCGAATATATATGCGCCACACAAATCTCATTTGATTTATGTGTGGGCTATGATACTGCCCAGGTGTCCAGCCTGAAACAGGTGGTTTTCTTAGGCAGTACGCCCGGAGCCTTCGACTTAAAGGTCTGATCCACAAGGCAGTGTAGAAACGTCAGATGTAATCCCATATTAGCCGTTGACGAACAATAGGTTCATACGCCATTTGTTCCCTCAGGATCCTGTAGCCTTTGTGCGCCATTGGTTTGTAATCAGGGTTTTCCAACTCCCCCGCGTGGATCATTCATATTTAACAACTCGCTTAAAGCGTCGGACATTAGATTTTTCTCCACTCAATTTCGTACCTGATACTCTATAGTTACCCATTTCCAACGTAGAACCTCAGAAACCGGATCAAAACAACGACAATTATATCAGAAAGTTTTATCAGTTCATGAAGTCACTGATTGACCGGTTGTTAATCTGTCATGTTGGTAGGTGAAAACTGCCTGATTGGCGCGATCATAACCAATAGATGTCAGGTCACACTGTTTAGAATCCGTTACAATAGCCAGACGTATTCATTATGTCTTTCCAAATACTTTTATATTCAATCATTTTCAACCACATTCTTAATATGAAGTCTTTTTTACGATCATTCCTACACCATTTTATCTCGACATGTTAATGTGTTGTGTCAACTTAAGTTAATTCACACTACAGTCACGCTCTACATTTATTAAATCAGCTTGGATAATAAAACAAATTTATCCACAAATTCAGTTGTTGTTGTCAGTTGATATGTGCACACTTGACATAATCACGATTAGTCAGAAAGTCTCGAATAGACCAAACCACTCACTACCTGTTAAACTAATTCGCATAGGAAAGTGGGAACAATGAATGACCACAACGTAACGCTTTTTTTGGAAGATACAATAGCGTTTTGCTGGAGTATATTTAAGCGCTAAAATATCAGGATTCGCAAAAACACGAGACCATTAAAGATGTTACTGTGAACAAACACAGAATTGCAGGACATGACATTATGCGTTTTTACGAATTAAATATGATCAGTACCTCATAATTATTTCCTTGAACACATGAAATATGAAGAGAATATATATATATATATATATATATATATATATATATATATATATATATATATATATATATATATATATAAATTTACCTTTTTGTTGGATACATTTCAGAGCAGTATCCACTACTCCTTTGAGATCATTTTGCTGTTCTTCACTAAGATGATTGATCAACTGACTATACCATGCATAATCAGATCTTTCCAATTCAGTCATTACACGATAAAACGTTACATATTCATCCATATCACATTCAGACTTATCCATTTGTGTGTCAAACGCCTCAAGTGTTTCTTCTTCATCATCGTCCTCATCTTCATCATCATCATCGTCGTCGTCTTCTGAATCTTTCTAAAGTAAAAACCGATCGCATATCAGTAACAAACTGAAAATAGATATGTTAAATTCTATAATTAAAATTTAAAACGTATAGGAATATAAAAATGTTATTAACCAAGTTGTGACCAAGTTTAAAAAATTGGACTCAGTCAGTAACAACGTGGAACTTCATACGTACGTCCATCAGTTCGAGTTGCCATAACACATTAGCACACAGATACAATTGTCGATTCAAATCACATAGCGGTAGAAGTAGTAAGAGTATAGATAGCAATCGGAAACATTAGGGTTTGAAGATGTTATTCAAGGAGTATAATCCAGTGAAATAAATATGGAAAGAGAAAAAAGAAGGGGACATGAAGAATTCAGAAGATTAGAATCTGGGAGAACACAAAGAGTGTATGCACCTGCGCCATTGCAAACGATTTTGAGCCATGTCATTCAGGGTCTCTGACCATCGGTTGCTATCATCTCGTGGTCCCCAACCGGAAAGTCTACACCTAACAACATGATTCAGTATAATTGTCAGTGACTTCATGGATTTGCGCCATGTTTTGATCTGGTCGCCCCTAGCTTTATTCTAATCTACTCCTATACCACTGAACATCGCACGTCGAGGCAGTCGGTCGATGGGCATACGTAACACGTGTTCCAGCCATCTCAACTGATGAAGTTTCACCACTTCATCAATTGATTTGCCATCCTTACCTGGTACCCGTTTCTTAACAACTGTATTACTTACTCGATGGTCCCATGATATACAAGCAATGTTTCGAAGACACCTATGATCAAATACTAGTAACCTACGAATATTCTCTACTCTTACCGGCCACGTTTCACTGCCATAAAGTAGGACGGAACGAACTGCTGTGCAGTAAACACGTCCTTTGGTTGATAGACGGATATCTCGCCTACGCCATAAATGACGCAAGTTGGTAAAAGTTAGTCGAGCCTTCTGTATCCGTGCTGAGATTTCGTCACACACCAGACCACAAGGGTTGATGAAACTTCCAAGATAATTTATTAGAGTACACACTGTTTCCTTTTAACTATGGTTTTGATTTGGGAAGATTGAGGTGGAATATAATGTTCTGGGTAAACTAGGTCTATTTAACAATTTGGTTCCTATTTATCAGTTACAGACTTCGACTTTTAGTCACTAAGTCCCAGGTTTGATCCCAATCTATCGACTAAGGTTTGGGCGACGGAGTAGTATCATTAGATTTACACATGCAATGCGACTCATACCTAAGTACGTAGTAAGTGAATTAATTAATTTTGTCATTTCCTTTCATGCCTTAAATAACATGACGCTGTAAAAAATATTATAGTACAATAATAAACAAATCATAAAAAATGATTAGCCAGAAATAAAAAGGCGAGAAGACAACAATTCACATGCTTTTTTCTCAATCAATGTAAAGCGATAGTGAAACAAAAATAAATACATCGAATATATAAAAAAGCTTACAGTTGCCTCTAACATTTCTAAATAACGAACACTTTCTTCGTCTACTTCATCTTCATCGCTTCCCAAAGCTTTACCCTCTAAATCTTCCTCTGTTTCAGATTCTTCTTCATTCGAATCTAGAAACAGATAGAAGATAGAGATATCAATTGTCTTTGAGAAATCAAGCATATATTTACTTACTATGAAGAGAAAATTAGTGATAAGTACTTGTCTACAAATTACAGGAATTTAATTACTCCACCTGGAACCCCCTCTACGGCTACTACTGGTCATAAACCCGGATAACGTGTTTTGAGTTGGGGCAAGTTCACTATGTGAAACAAAACCCTGTTATACAAGAGCACCGACCAGAGTAAAGGAAGTACACTACCTTGAAAATTGAACGGTTTTCACGTAGATATATGATGACACATGGTAAGCCCTAGGGGTCTACTGAAGCTATTAACCCGTTACTCCACCTTCGCACTGAAAATTATTACCGCGACTATTGAAAACATTGGACGACTGTTTCATTCCAGTATGAAAAAACAAACGTATGTGTTCACGATAAAATCGGGAATCGAACTCAGAAACTTCGAACAGTTCGTGATGTAAAATTTAACAATCTCAACAAATTTCCCCAACACTAAAAGAAATCCCGTACTCGTGGTAACTAACTTTCGGATCCAATAATAGTGAGAAGGTATGACTAGTGGAGCTTGATTATGTCAAGTATGAAAATTATCTACCACAGAAAATGAAACGTGGTTGCGCGAAATCGTGAATTGAGTGAAGTTAGACATCCATACCATTGTGAAGTCTTGAATTCCATCCCGAATGGTTGGATGCTGTGTTCTTACACTGAGGAGAACTCCCTTGCAATGACGAAAAAAGCTATTTAATGCTCTTTGATTTTAAATGGTGGTCTACATCCTACGACATAAAGTACAGAAATTCAACAATTCCCCAAAAACCGCTCAATACATTGATTAAGGAAAAATAGTTATCAAATAAAGATGAACGTGAGAAAAAGCCCTACCATCTTCATTTTGATTGGAAGCTTTTGTTGCGTACGCCTTTTTTAGTCCAGAAAATAGCAGTAGAAGTGATGGTATATACTTTTCACTGAGTGTTACAATTGCATCAGTTCGTTTATCAACCGGAAGAGAAATGATCAAACAAAGTCCTAAGACACAGAGGCGGCGATCATGCAATCTAAAGAAGAGAAACATTGTTTTCATCTGGTTTACTTGAACAAAAATAAAACTTGCTAACGAATTTTAAATTTAAAATTGAACACAATTGCTATTCGTGTAAATTCAAGAAAAACTATTGATGAATGTGTCGCTTGTCAGTTATTTTGTTGAGATTTTGATGCATATTGCTTCATGAAATACTGAGACTGTTTTAGTAGACCATAATTCACTGTAATGTTCTAAGAATTTTTAGTTTGTTTGCTTATTTTCAAAAGGTCTGTTCGAAAACCAGTGACTTTTGAGTAATATACAGTAATGGTGCATTGAAAGCAACAGATTATAAAACTGAAAATCAAATTTATATCAAAAACACAACTCCACTACAAACGACAGAATAATGATGAGATAATTGGGGTTTATTTTCTTCAACAGTCCAGTTTTAAAATTACTACACAGATTATTTCGATGGTATTATGAAAGAGAAATAATCATAATGATTTAACAACACCAATGACTGGATATTGAGAAAGTTTCTGTATACACGAAAAACAACGATCGAAATTTTCTCAAATAAAAGTAACTTACCCAAGTGAACTGTATGAGCTGATGTAGTTCATTTTTAATTTAATGCGACTTATCTATTAAGAACGGATTTATGTGCTCAGATTAAAATCATATTAGTATTGTTTATGATGGTGATATTATCCAGCCTCTTAAACTGGAGTAGTTATAATCGAGCTTGAATCTAAGATTGGATGAGTGAATCACCAAGCTATTGATTTGAGTCGGAGTGAAGACTAAGGTGGATAGACTGCCATAGTTTTTATAAGGAAAGCAAAAGTTGAAACATTTAAGACCAATCAATATACAAAAAGCTGTTACTGTTACTTGCATAAGTAATCTAGACCCAGTCGAAATGCGGTAACATAAGAGAAAATGTAGATTTGAATGCCAGCTGTTCTATACAAAGAAACCCATACTATGGGATTTGTATTACTACTACTACAGTTTGGTTAAGGTTCTTGACTTTTTCAGTTTCTTAAGTATGAAGCAAGCAGACATCATACTTTTTTAATTAAACAATCTTATGCACATATATTAGTCAACAACTAAACTAAAAACCACTTACCCAAGGAAACAGTCTGCATCTTCAATCCATCGTTTAAGGAATTCAGACAAAATGTTAACCTCTGTCCCAGGCCATGGATGCTCGATCATCATATGAAGCATATCCATAGGTGAGTAAAGCAATCCAGCAATTACCACCTGATTGTTAATATAAATAAGGTTATCAAAATAAATGATTACTTGACGGGAAAAGTACAGATTGTTTTAGATATTTACAGGTGTGTTATTTTAATGAAATGTGATAAATTCCAATGCGAGTTCTTTCCCACCTTTTATACTGACTAATTATTACGTTCTTGTACATAAGCATCAACAAAACGGTGGACATTTACATAATCAACAGACTTCAAGAAGGTTAGGGAATGGTAACAAAATCTGGACTTTTTCGTAGATTGCTTCCACACTTTTTCAGTTGCTGATATAAAATCATGCTTCGGCTACACGTTTTTTAATACAAAGTAATGGACAGAATTTTTTAAATGAAATATTCATTGAATTCATGAACCGATTAATGTCAGACCACCACTGAAAATCTAGAAGCATTAGACGGTCGTTTCGTCCTGGTATGGGACTCCTCAGCAGTGCACATTTACAAATCCGCCAAAAACCTTCGGTCTTGCGTGAACTCAACGGTTGGTAATCAAACAGTGCATACACTTAAATACCGCTAATAGTTAACAACGCTAGAATGAGGTTTTGAAAATCCATTTTGATTATTTTATAAATACACAAAGTATTAATTACTAAATATGTATATAAGATCCATAGTCTGTAAATGAGCTACACAAATTAACTGTTGCAAGTCTCCTAAGCACGTTGTCTACAAGGAACAAATAAGTACATTTTGGAGAGCATCGAATATCCTTTCCTGATACTGTCAATAAAGGACGATAGTATATGGTCATACATGATGACAAGCAGTAGGTAAAAGCTAATCCCGATGAAATTCTCACCTTACAAATTACCCAGAAAATCTTTTCCTAAGTAAATTTGTCCTTTTTCTTTACCCTACTTTAATTACCATTATTGAAAGTAAATCTGAATATCAGTTGAGCAAAAGTATTACTGTTTAACTACATTAGCATATCAACTGACCAATTTGTGTTAAGCAAATCAATTAATGGATAATTCTAACTGTAGCTACATTAGTTTCATGACACAAAAAAATTCTACAAAGATATTCACGGTTAGTGCCAATTACTTTAACTACCATATCTCTTAGAAATCTGCGATGTTATAGTTTTAGCAACTACTAAACCATAAACATGTATACTATGATTATTTAATGCTGTACAAGAGGTAGCTCAATAACTAAGCCCCACTTCACCTACATTGGTTTGAGCGTTAGACTTATAAGCACTTACACTTGGTGTGTGGCTCAAATTCAAATACCTGAAGAATTAGTTAATTTATCAAGTTCTGCACGAAATAGTCGGGATTGAATAATAGAATGAAAATATGATGACAGACTGGAACAATCTACTTGTAATTGAGCGTTGGCAACGGAAATAATTAGAAGCTTCGAAGCATGGGTAAGATGTAATGGGAAAAATAACAGTCAATATCATTCTAGAAACCATATTATCATGGTAAAAAGGGTAGGTCGCATAGTGTCAAGATGGTTTAGAAAAACACGACGAAGCCACAAGAGGCTCTATAGGAGCCAAAGACATTCCATCCAACCAGAACTTGATACAGCTTTCTAGAATACTAACGTGACATGCCACGACTGGACAACAGTATAACTTGCCTCCTTGTGGATTGGCCAAATTATGATGATGCTATAGCCAAGACTAATAACCCATGTTTTTCTTTTCTGTTTTTGATTCCTACCGTTCTCCTGTCTTCTGATTTGCGAGTGTGAGGCTCTACATGTCGGAGTCCCATTAGTTTTACATCGTATTCTACCGTAATCAAGTAGAAAACGTAACACATAGTTCGTTCATAATTTAAAATACTTAAATCATTAGTTTATAGAAATGTTCCCAATCTGCAAACAGCTTCCTACAATGAAAAACTATCTCACAAACCAGAGAGAAGCGGCTGTTTCGTGATTGTCAATTTTTAGTAGTTTTCTCTAACTGATACCAGTTTATGGCGAAAAACTGAAATCGCAGGTAGACATTAAATCTAGTTCTTAGTTGTTTCGCTGAGATATGTGCAACTTTATGCGCCATTCACTCCTCCATTAGGCTATATATGACATGAACCAAGACCCTTTTACCTTGAACATAAACTTAAGCGAATATTTCCGAATAAACAATTACCTGCATACAGAGTGTTCTAAGTTCACTTGAAACAAGCGGGCGTGTAAGACGTGTAAGTGCTAACTCAACATATTTTGGTACATACTGGTTCACTTGGCCTCGATAATCAAGTAAAATAACTTCAAGTAATTTTGCAGCATGCATTTGTAGTCTTTCTTGGTCATCCATTGAGAACACCTATGGAGACAAATATTAGGTAAGGTAAAATACAATAAAGAATAAACAAAACGACCTTTTATTGACTAACGATAAAAAAACTATAATGTAACAGTCCAAACTTGGAAAGCATAACGAACCTACTGGGATTAAAAAGATAAGAGATGTGTTGATTTATTTATTTATTTAGCTAATTCATCAAGTACACATTCATGTATTTGGTTTTGAACTGCACTCTAAATATGAGGGCTAATGATACTACTACTACTTGGTTGTCCAAACTAACATAGGTAGAGCAAAGTTTGAATCTACGAATTGACGGATGGGAGTAAGAGGCCATAACCACCGGGTCACCACGCTATGTGCATCCACGACCCAATCAATTGTTAATCCCTATCGATAAGTGAATTGACCAACACTATTTGAGTTAAACGCTCAACACTAGATACCACGTTGTCGATTCGGATTCTAAAGGTACGGATAGCTAAAACGGTTGACTTAAATATATAGGACAGTTCGCTTCAGATGTCTTCATGGATTCATTTAAGGTAAAATTCCCTAAGGCTAGAAACGACAGCGTCAAGTTGTTGATTGGATGTAATGTATCAGCTTCGCAAGAGATGGAATAAAGGGTTGAAGAAGATAACGAACCACTATCAGTAATAAGGCTGATAAGAATTTAGTCATGACGCTAGGCAACCTGGTTGCGTAAATAGAACACTGACTGCTATATAAGACTTACACTTACAAGCGAACGATATTCTATTGACGAAGAGAAAATTAACAGAGACCGTGCCTGACGAAGATATAGAGTTAAATATCACTCCCTTGCCATTAAGAGAACAAACGAATATACTTTAATATGCTATTATCAACCCACTGTTTAACGAGTCGAAAGATCGGCGGTTGCTGACACCTTTACGACTTTATCACGAGGGGAGGAGTGCTATGGTCAAATCAGATAAACTGTGGGCCCAACACGAGTGCTTGATAGAAAACTGAAACCGAAATCATTAACCTTAAAGTACGAGATTTACGTTTACCCGAAGAATTAGATAGTCCTACAGAAAAGAATGCTGACAAACGACGTAGTGGTCGTTTCAGGAGAAGGGTGTCAATCTATCGATAAAAGTAAATAAACCAATAATATTTGTATTAAACGCTTAAAACTTAAAACTCATTTCATCCCAGACTATTTATTACTCCAGCCTTTTTTAAAATTAACAATCATGAAATTGTACCAGTTACATAAACATATTCATTCATTTTCGTTGTCTCCGTTACTGTTCGGTATGCATGTGTTTACTGTTTTCTCTGTAGATGACTACTACTTCGTTTTTTTGTACTAATTGTATTAATTTATATTTTAGAAACGGATTACAATTGTGGGCTATATATATCGTTATCTGTTTTGATTATAGCCCTGCTAAGACTGTATGTGACAATGTAGGGACATATTCAAGAAATTCATCTCTAGTTCATCACTTGCTACACCGAGAATCCAGTTCAGTACTATTAGGTCTCACGAAAAATGCAGAACCATTAAAATTACTGGGTGTGCAATTCAAATAAGCTAAAGTGCGATTAAATCTTTTTACGGAACAGGAATATACTCACAATAAATTTGCGATAAAATATAGCGATTCAATTTATAGATATCAAACAATAGCAACCTACGAACGTCCTCTATTTTTGAAGGCAAAATTTCACAAAGTAAAATAGAGCAAACTCTCGAAATACATTAGAGAAGTGTAATGACGTTAAGCGTACGCCTGATACTTTCTGCCTAGTAGTCTAAACCAACTGAAGATGAATAGTTGTAATGAAAAATTGGTTTAATACAGAAACTTTCATAAATTTTTTAATTAGTGAATTAACTGTAATATCTACCTCTAAACACATAGCAGTAATTTGTTCAATACGTGAAGTATTTGCCAGGAAAGCCTCACGGTCCACTGTTATGTAATTATGTAGACAGGGCATCATTTCTAAACAACAATATAGACAGGAAAAAACTTTAAGGTGGTGAGAGATTTCAAACAGAAATTAGATAGAAGTTCTATAAGCACTTTGAATAAATTTGGACGAATAGTTTCGCATTAGTTGGGCACTTAGTAAACGTACGACATTAAAAAGAAAACCATACTTGCAAAAAACTCAGCAACCGAATTTCAAACAAATCCAACTTTTAGCTCGGCGATCTGATCTAAGCTTTTCAAGGGAAGTAATTAAGCATTAGAATTATCACTTCACTCAACTTTGCTTTGAAATAATTGAGTCTAATTCCAAAGCGTACTTCACGAAAATCTTTTAATACTGATTTCGTGAAGCATGATTTTCGAAAACTTTAAGCCAACTACATCAGTTAGTGATTTTTTGCTCTGGGAATATAAGTAAATGTTAATCACACAACGGAAACCAATGACATACTACTAATTATAATATAATATTAAACAAGCATGAATTGTGCAACTAGAGCTTTCATCAATTTTCTAAATCTTAAAGGTTTTCAACCCATAATTATCAATCAGTCAGTTGGTAATTCCATTTATTGGAGAATATGACCAATAGTCTAGTACACGAAATTACCCTAAATCGTATATTTACCGGGAGTTTAGGAGGGAAATTACTGCTGAAAAAGTAGGGTATTATGTAGATTTTATCTGAGTTCTAAATACATAAAATACTTACCGGAAAAGCACTCGCAAGCATCTTTTTTGAATACAGGATAGAGTTGATCGAAAAGTTGCCACAAAAGTGGGGAAATCTTGTTAGTTGTCAGCGAGAAAATGAACGTGAGAGCTTCATCAAAGAACACACTTAATTTATGGTTGAATATAGACTGAATCAAATGCACAACAATAGGTTCAAGCTGAGCAACAAGGTTTTCATTATCTTCACCAACTTGCAGAATAGACTCCATATTATCCAAAACACTTGTAGCAACTATTGACCGGTACTCAAAGAGATCTTCTGTATCCTCAAGCTCGATTAATTCCCTATTTAATTCATACTCGGATTTAATAACGAGCTGATGAAACGTATCTGACTGGAGGAAAAAAGACACAAAAATTCAATTAGAGAAATGTAAATATAAACCCTTCCCTAAAAAAATCAGGCTAAATAATGAATTGAATAATAGTTATGTTGATTAAAACATACCAATGTTTGCATAACTTCAGAAGCGATTGGAACTATTTCTTTTTCAAATGTATGTATTAATATTTCGATTACACTGTTTAAATCGTCAAATTCAGTTTGCCGAAGAAGCTCCAATAAACCTGAAAGTGAACGTACTATGAATATAACTGCCAAAATATTATGAGACGAAAATCTGCACTACTAAAATAATGAAACAAATTGAGCTAAAACAATTTCTAGCAAACAGCTTCCTGCACTGCTTACTAGTTCAATCTAACAAAGTCACTTAAAGAGTATATTCGTTGTCAGATGGATAGGAGTAGCAGAATCTATTAATTTTGCTCAACATGCAACACATAAAAAACCAATGCTCTATCTAAACTTCCTTCCTTGCTGAAATTTATGGTGTTCAGGTGCACAAAAAACACTAAAATGTACAGATTTCTACAAAAGCATGCTGATTATTTTACAACTATATTAAAAATCACAGGTCATAATTCATGATACAAACAATTCAAGTCCTTAAACACACACTGTTTTGCGTCTGATTCATGTGTTCGTACATGAATCGTTGGTATCGAACGACAGTAAATATGGTTTCAAGTAACTCCTTGGTTCACTGAAGAAACAGCCATCTTAAATTTATTTTACATGTGTTTAGATAGGCATTAGCACTTACTAAGCAACAAAGAGAAAAATTGGGATCAAAAACTTGGTATAGACGATAACTACGTAAAACTTACTGCAACTGATATAAACTGGGTGCTTTCAAGTGCACAGAGTTATATTTTAACCATAGAATACCAAGAAACACTATAAGGGTAGTTACTTTAGGCAATTACTTGATTTTAGTAATTATAGAATGGTCCGAAAGTCACATGAAATCTTACACAACCTCTGCCAGGAATCCTAAATGGGTTGTTACTTTCTGAAATCAAAACCAGGTATATTATGCCAACTTATGTATGCTAACTGAACTGCATACATATTTTAAGGTTTGTTATTTAGTGACTTTTCAATACTTTTAAGTGAAAACACGAAATGTGGTATATTTATGACCCCGTTAAAATACATTAAGAAATTTAACTACGGCTGAAATCTTCTAAGAATTTAGAAGTAATGGTAATCCACATGTTTTATTGAAAACATGCCTTTATCTGTAAAGTTCCGTTAAAACGCCTACATACTATAAGAGCTTCCGACTGAAACAAATGCTCAGGATCCCTGTGGGCATATCCCTACGTTTAACGTAACAAGGCATCATAAATCCCTTATGAAAGTAATAAACAGTGCCGAGTAAAAATATCGACTGAGCTCTCGTAATTGCATGTTATTAAAAGCATCCCCCTGTGGGACAAAAAACTGGTAAGTCACATTCAAATCGCAATTACCAAAAAACTACGATTAATCAAATCCATATGATATTAGAGGAAATGAAGCGGTGACTTAGTAGTTGGTGCCTTTGACTCTTAATAACTAAGTCCTAAATTTGAGCCTTGTCGCGCCCACTTTAGTCTAGACAACCGGGTAGTATCGTTCTTTCCCACCCTTAGTGTGCTTCATACCCAATACCTGGTGAATGCTAATTTAATTATTACCCAACAAACGGAATGAGTTACTGCAGTAAGTGAACGAACAAACTAAGAGGAAACCTACTATGCAAAGCATTTCGAAAATCATAATCACTGCTAGAAAGGACCTCCTGAAAAAAGATAGTTATGAAAAACAATCAACTATCAATTAACTTCCATAAAATCACTCACTTATCAAGAGTTCGCGTAGATGAGGAGCCACAAATTGATGAGCTAAATGAAGTTGAAAGAAAATAAATTTTTAATTGCAGAGAAAGCAAGATAGTTTCATAGTACATATAAGGTGTTAAAAGATTCTAAAACATTGCTGTTTTATGTAATTCTCATGAAATAATGTCACTAAGCAAACTGGTCACCAATCTGTAAAGTCTGACCTAATGGACTTTTGTTAGATAGAAAAAAAAACTAGTATTATAACTGTAACCCGAGTTATTTGTACATATATAATAGTAGATTGTCTTGCTAATGCGATGGCTTGTCTTATATGAAAAAATGAATTTTCAGAAGCCATCCAGTTCAAATTTTAAAACACTACACAAAAACTAAGCTTCTGCACACGCTTATTACTACAGGTCAATTTGGGGATGTAGTAGGTAGCTATGAACAGACCTGTCACTACAGTTTAACCAAGTTAAATATTCTCCTGACAATTGTTCTTTGGAGTTTAAATGAACTATATTGTTGCCACTGTCGTAAGAACACATCCTTAATCAATAATTCAGACGTTTTAAGAATTCAAACAAACTTTTTAATAAACATATCCAGAGTACCATGAACTGTACACATCTATAATAAACAGAATAATCACACTTAACTCACCAGTTTCTTGACACCGAACTAATTCTGAGAGACAGAGTGCAGCAAACGCACGAACTGGTAATTCCGAATCAAAACATGCAGCTTTTCTCACTTCATCAACAACTTGGGCAAATATGTTTTGGTCATTGAATTTAGCCTCTGATAATTTCTCCAACAATCTGTAAGCCCGAGCACGACGATATCCTTCAGGAGCATGCAAAGTCGGAAGGACATGACCTACAAGAAATGATTCTAATTGAGACTGAAAGATAAGTACATAAGTGTTGTCGGACATACTTTGTATGCAGCTTTTTTCAGTAAGATTTCAGCTATAGCTATGTACATGTGCAAAACAGCATCCTTCTCAATAGGAGAACTCTCGGAACTTAATATATGAATGCAGAACGGCATTATGTTATTGAGAACACCACGTCGTTTAACACATGCTTCACTTAGAAGCGTAGATGCTGCACTTGCTGGACTAGATACCGATCCCCAATCACCTGAAAATAAAGAGAAAAGAAAGAATCTTACCAGCTTCAGCTCGAATGTATTCCACTGGATCTTCTTGCCATAATTCTGCATCTTCTTCAGTATATGACATAAGCGGGAATATAACTTCACGGACCAAAAGAGAGAAGTGTGGCCGTAGTAATTTCCATGAAAATGAGTTAGCCAGTCTACAAAAACAAGTTGGATTGTGTTTCACTTACGCCGAAGAAAAATAGTCCAGTGTTTGACTAAGCACAGGTTTGGAAACGAATGATTTTTGTCTGTATGCTTCACATATATTCAGAAGTACTGATATTATTTGCCCTGAGAAGGCTTTAAGATACCAGTCAGCGAATGGTTGATATAGCTTAATGACTGAGCCAGGACTACCATAACTGAAAGAAGTTAGTAATTTCTACACATCATACCGGGTGAAAACCCTGTTAAGTATTTTTAAAGCCCATTTTTGGCGTTTCCAGGTCGAACTTGAAGTGTCCGAATGAGTCACTTTGAAATCACCGAGTATAGTACAGAACATATCAATCCAGTGAGTAAATAACTAAACAGGAGTAAGAAACAAATGACATACCTGTTTATTCATTGCATCCAGTGGGAAATGGTAATTTATGAATGAAAAGAATATTTTGATAATGAGCGTTTGAAGTACATAAGAATCTTCGGATTCTTCAACGATGAGACTCGACAACGTTGAATATAAGATTGGGAAAAAAACTTGCATCGTGGAAACCGTATTTGCGCGTTCATCGTTTTTTTTGTATGTATACACTTCAACAAAAGCATAAAGACAACGAAGAGCTCCTCGAAGATGATGGCGATCATTTGATTCTAAAAACTGCTTTACTTGTTCAGGGAACTCTTCAAAACGAGTAGGAAAATCATGCTTAATTATTTTGGAAAGAGCAACCTGGAGATGAGTTCTTATTTAAGGAGTTACTTCAGAAAAATGTCTTACTGAAAAGGAATTGGCGCCGAGACAAGAGCTGCTACAATAGAACTTCTGATTGCTTGCTTATCTTGCTCATGTATACAAAATCTTAATTCGCCAGATTCGTCTGACTCATCGGGCTTCCACCATTCAGAGATGTTGTTTTTAAAATATAGGGCTGCTGCTTGTCGTACTCCCACATCAATACTTTCTTCAAGGATGATTTTCAATAGCGTGGGAACAAATCCAATAATTTTATGCATCTGGAAATAAACAGTAAGTAGCTTTGCTTACTTCATCAAGTATTTTTGTTCCATTTCCTTGTTTTTCTGCCAACAGAGTATTACTTAATGCCTCAACTACCCTAGTAGGGTCCATGCTAAACAAAATTCCAAAAACAACGTGACAATCACCACAAATTGCACCGCCCTACGTTTTAGTAAAATAAAACAAACACAGAAACTATAAAGATTTAAATTTCCAACTATTGTGCATTAACAGAAATCGACCACTGGTTTATATCATTCTTTTATTTGTATTGAAATTATCAAAAGTAAATTTTTATTAATTGAACATAAATGTTTCCCCCTTTTGACCAGGCATTTAGTCATTTTCTGCGCACCAAAACCCACTATTTCTTGTTTCATTTGAAATCATTCTCTGCTTCGGTCGGTATATTTGACTTCATGGCAACTGTTACCTATCTGGTACAGATTAACGGGTAAGATCTTCTTCCCCATATAACTGCCTATTACCTTCGCTTTTCTCTGAGACCATTTGTAGGAGTGATGTGACTGGTTTTAGAGGAGGAATGGAAGATCTTCAGCTATAGCATGTAACTTATCAGGAGCTAATCTTCTGGGTTTCAATAACAAAGAGGCGCCTTCGCTTTTAATTACATGAGTTATTTCAAATCTACCTTTGGAACGTTAGTGGTTTGCTTCATTTACACTTGAAAAATTTGTAGTTTGACATCTTCAAGATAATGTCTGATGCTTCGTATATCTATCTTCCTGGTAAACATTATTATATAAATACCAACAGTGTATATATTTCAGACGATATGAATATAGTTTATTATCGAACAGCGCTGATCACTAAGTCACAAGCGCACAAAGCGAACTCCACCAGAAATGTTAATGCAGGCTAGAAATTACAGAGAGAGGTTAAGAGCCGAATAAATTAACATTATTCAACTATATATACATCGATTGCACCCACCAGTGATAATAATGATGATAAATATCAGTTTCATGAGAGGTGGAAGTCGATCATAGGGAAGTGCCCAGAAAACAACCTGACCATCCTGATGGGAGATCTAAACGCCAAAGTTGGAATGAACAACAACGGTTATGAAGATATCATTGGACGACATGGACTGGGAGAAAGAAACGAGAATAACGAGAGATTTGCAAATCTATTAGCGTTCAATAAATTGATTGTAGGCAGCACGGCTGCAATTAAACGCAACTCAATTTCGTAAATGTGCCCTTCAGCTTAGCAACCAATCAGAATGTGGCGGGAATTATTATATCAGCCATCTTTGTACGTAATGGCGGTCGGCTATCTTCGCTCTGTGCTTCTTTTAGCTATTTCTTTTGTGTAGCTATGTAATTAATGTTTCAATGTGCTAAGATGCCGCAGTTAGTGTAATGTTCTACATGTTGGTGTGAAATTTACTTCGAATCAGCATTGTTTTTTGGGTTTTTGCTGCTTCTACTCTAGTCAATGTATTTCTTCAGTCAAGCTGGTTAGTCTTATGTTTTAAAATGAAAATCGGTTTTGTTTTGACTTGTTTTCTAGATATCCAAAGCCGAAGTTCGTTTTTTCTTAGCTGAAATTAACTATATAATCTAGTTATTTAGTTAAAAATACATTATGAAATGTCAAAATCTGTGGTTACTTGAACGCACAGATGACCGGTACATTAAGTTTACATGGTTGCGTTGCGGATAAGATCACCCAGGCAGCACAGTATTTTCATGGAGTTTTGTCCACCGAGCTGGATGGTTTGGTCATGGAGCTAACGACATCATCAACATAACTTCATTAAAATCATCCACTTGAGCTACAAATCATCTCTACTGCTTCAAAATCATATGGGCGGCACAATAATTCTACACAAATGCATAAACAAAGCTATATGGATCTAATTGGATCACACCACGGAGAACCAGATAGATCATATTTGTATCAATAAAAAATCCTGAGAGACAATGAAAGACGTGGGAACCAAGAATACGTGAAAGACCAATCAACGACAGCAGAAAAAACTGTAAGTGATGGGAATATGCGACAACTATATGATACAACGAAGAAACTAGAAGGGAAATATAGTAAACCAGAGAGATCGGTCTAAGACAAACAAGATATGACAATCACTGAAATTCAAGGACAGAGGAACAAATGGGTGGAACAATTCGAAGGACTTTTGAATAGGGCAGCTCAATTGAATCCATCAGACATCGAAGCAGCACGCATAGACATTCCTATAAATGTTACTTCACAAACAGTCGAGAAAATCAGGATGTACATCAAACAAAACAAATGTGGGAAAGTAGCAGAACCTGACAATATACCAGCGGAAGCGCTGACGACAGACAAAGAAGTAACTGTGAACATGATTCACCTTCCATTCAGGAAGGTTTCAGAGGAAAAATAAATACCACCGACTGATTGGAATGAAGGACACCTGACCAACATACCAAATAAAAATGTGAGCAAATGTGCGAACTACACAGGTGTCATACTTCCGTAGGTTTAAGCTTCTTTTTTGGAAGTTTTGTGTACGTAAATCTCTCCACGCACACTCTGTTGTGACCTATTCTCCCTGATCTCTTCAGCTGTATATTTCGTTGATCTTTTGATTCCATTTGAGATAGTACACTTCGCATTTTATCGTAACATTTGTTTTCCCTACGTTCTCACTGAATTGTCATTTGGCTTTAGTTAATATTTAGTTGTGGTGGCAGGCACATTGATCTATTTCTTTTTTTTTACTACGTTGCTTGAACTGATTGGGAAGGGTGAATTTATCCGCAACGCAACCATGTAAACTTAATGTGTCTCACAGAGTCATCTGTGCGTTCAAACAACCACAGATTTTGTCATTTCATTATGTATTTCTAAATAAATAACTACATTATATTGGTTATTTTGCTCTGTTTTTAATTTTTATTCGCCACGTCTGACTGTGTTACACTGTACGTTCACTGCACGCTGGGATGTTATACAGTATACAGTCTTAGAAGATAAGTGTTCTGTGTCTCAATTAAGTGCAGCTGGCTGTGGACAAATGTTAATGATCTTTTTGATAACTGGGAATTTCAGTTTACCAGACACTAACTCTGCTTGTATGTCTTCCTGTTAAACTAGACGCAGATGCATGGTAATACTTAAATGGGAGCAAAATAATAATAGAATTGCAAAACGGTACTAAGCTCATGTTATGTTTTGCACAAGTAATAGTAGCTGACCTTATCGAATATTCATGGACTCAAGGTAAATCAAAAGTGCATAAATTCTTTGTTAAAAACATGTGATTTGGTTATTTATCTATTCCACATTTCTGACGAAATTCATCACTATTTTTTCATTTAGAACACAACAGGATTGAGCCTTCACAGATCCTAAAGACTGTTTCGCCCTTAGAACTATGGCCCAATGGAACTTTTTACGGGAGACCCAACTAACAGCAGATTATAAAACGGATTCTGGAAGTTCATTTTAGCCTCACAACCACTTCCAGTATTTTTTGACTTACTTCTTTTACTCTTTCGTTTGGAAAAAAAATGCAGCTTAACATTACCAATACAACTTTTAAACGGGAACTTGGTCTAAACCTTTGTTTGATATTCGATTCTTAATGAAAGTTCTTGAATAAATTTTTAAATCTAATGCTACTTTGTTTTATTTACATAATCGTTGCAAGAAACTTGTGATAGGCGAGCCTTTCAGCATCTAGTTCATGTGTTCAAATGGTTGTGGACTGAATAGAAGCTTTCGCTTAACAGTCTAGTAGCAGGAGATCACCAAAACCTCCAGACAGGAACCTAGGTATGTTAACAATAAAAGAGGAGAAAGAAATTGGTAAATCATAATATGATACTATCCTTAATCCTTAAGAATAGGTCAAGTTGCCGCTTAAAGGACTCCTGGGAAGTCGCTTGGACTAGCTCGTCGGGCAGCGAATTCCAGCGTTTGACAACTTCAAAGGAGTAGATGTTGCGTCTACAGTCCGTTCTGCTATGTTGTGTCTCTAGTTTCTGGGTGTTACCCCTTAGGTTAGTTTTGGGACTAAGCTTAAGTAGGTGTTTAAGAGAATGTCCAGAAGTGGTAAGGATACTGTAAGCCATTAGATCACCTCTAAGACATCTTTACTATAATGAGAGAGATTAAGTGTTTGGAGGCGCTCTTCATAAGGTGATTTAGTGTATATCTTCGTCATTTTCTTGGAAAACCTACAGACTCGGGTCCTCTTGCAACTTATTCTACCATGAGTTGCCACGGCAGCTGATGGATGGACACGCGTTACACATCCTAACCATCCCTGCTTCAAATTTCATAGTTTCGTATTCATATGTCATATGATAAGCAAGTAATGCCTCTACCCACACTAATGGAACACGAGTAACTCGAAGGCCTGTATGGTACCTCACATTGGTCTACGCAATCAATTAGCTCTTTAGCGAGAATATTACTACAGTCGTGCTAAAAATCCCATGAACCCCCCGACCTCCATCAAAACAAATAAGTCTGTATTTGCTGCATATAGCAATTTTATTTTTCAGAAGTAAGATATAACAGTTAGAATTGGAGTAAAATGACAGTATACAGCAGATGCACGTGGTATATGTCTTCGTCGATTAACTGAAATAGAAAATACGGATATTAGCTTAACAGGCTTATTTAGAAAGACTAGTGTCTACTTTGAACTTACTGCGTGAGAAAATTATACTGGAACTATGAATAATGTAGGTTATTTTCGGAGAACAGTACCAGGAGCGATGTGTTGTACTTGTTGCTTGAGTTGGTATGCTACACGAGTGGTTTGTATCCAGAATCTGAAGATTGCGTTCGTAGGAAATGCGGACCAGAAACGCTGTAGACGTAGGACGAAACCACGTTGAGCCAAAAGACCAAAAGCGACCGCAACGACCAAGTTCGAGACCAAACGTATGCCAAACATTCGAAACCAATATATCGACTGAGTGCGTTGACAAGAGCGTGGGTGGCCAGTCCAGCTTTCGCCAAAGTTGACTGAAGTCGACGGAACCAAACGGAGATGGTCGAAGGCGTGGGCTCAGGAAACCAAAAGAAAATCAAAAAAGAGAAGTGTAGCATGCGTGTAGTATAGGAATAGTCGGTTGACTGTGCGGCTAGTCGCGGAAGCGTACGGGCAACCGTACTCGGCGACCGGAACGTGAGACAGTAGTCTCGTT